CTTCTTGCAAATACCAAACTAAACCGTTTTTACTCCTGGTACACAGTCTTTCAGCAGACTTATCACTGTCGAAAAAGAACCGGCCACCGCCAAGCGGCGTGGTCAGATTATCCTATTAAAGGAAGCGGTCTTGTCCCTTCTGTAAGGCCTCACTTTGATGTTGGCCGGTCAATTTCGCACCTTGTCCATAACAACATGATTATCCGTCGTGCAGCAGACAATACGACTGGCAAACCATCTCGACCCAAGATACCCAATTAGTTCATTATAACAATATTACTGGTTCTTTCCATTGGGGCAAAAGTGGGGGGGTGTTTAGATAGTAAAAGAAACAGACGCAGAGACGGAGAGAGAAAGAGAGAGAGAATGTGTGTACGGTAGAAAATTAGAAGAAAGAGAGAGGTGTGTAGAATGAAAATGGGGAAGGAAGTGGAGATATCGCAATTCAAGAAAGGCCAATCTGCCCAAATACTGGCGAGGGTCCCCTGTGAAATGATTCGGTCACGAAAAGCTTGGAATTTTCTGGAAACACCTTTCTTTTTGCCGGCACCATTACTTCAGCGTTCTTTTACCCTCTAACGTTCACTTTTTGACGAATGCGTTTCATTCCATTTCTTTTATTGCCTCTTCTACTTCCTTATTTTCTTTTAACTTCTCAAATCTTTACATCTTTCTTTCTTTGCTTGTCTTATTTTGACTTTGTTTTTCGTTTCTTGTGTCCATTTCGACGTTTCCTTCTGTTTAATTTTTCACTTTCATAATTCTCATTTTTTTCTTTGCTTTTTGTTTAGTAACTTCCTTTTAGCCGTGTTTGCTCATTACATCATGATTACTTTTCTTTCGTCTATTTTATATCTCTTTCTTTCCTTCTTTCTTCTCACATTTCTTTTTATTTCTTTGATTCTTTTCTCCATCTCTTTCTTTATCTTCTTTCTTCATTCCGTGATAAATCGAAATAAACTTTGCTATTTTATGCCTACTTCATATGCATTCAATCACTCACAGGGGTTCAAATCGTGTTTAAGCGTATACATTTGTTTCCCATGGTACTTAATATACTACTCATTCTACACCTGGGTACGTGAATATATGTATAAAAACACCTGCCTTCCGATGTGCATTTGAGAATTCATTGCACGTGAATTTGAGTATGCATATTTACGACAAGTATTTGTTCATTTAAAAAGCATCAACATATTTGAAAAATACTTTCCTTACAAATTAAAGAAAAAGTTATTTCATTAAATACACGTTATATTTTAAGTGTTATATTATCGACCGACTTTTCAAAAGGAGAAAATTTCATTATATACACATGCACAAAATATAGGTACACTTATCAACCTAATTTGAGATTATCTCTCTCTGGAGAAAAATGAATTTCCAAATGGATAACAAACACAAGTTTTAGATACAAAATTACTTGCTGAAGTAATACTGGCAATATGAAGCCGTTGTAGCATTATGCCATAAGAGACTTTGCATTCATTGTTACAGCAGCCCATCAAAGTAGGTGCACCAGCAGGTTGACCTGAGGTTACTCCTGACAGCCGAATCCAGAAGCATGCGATCTCACTGCAGCATCCGATTTTCCGGTTTTAATGACAGATCATTACTTATATATATAAATTTAACATTTGCACAAAAGTACACACACAATAAAAAATAGTGAAAGGGCTCGATATAAAATGCCTAGTTTTGAATCTAACATAATAATAATAAATATTACAGATACCAAAAGTATTTACTAATACAGATCTTTAATAGTTACAAATTCTTTTCAATTAGGAAACTCACCTTCATATTCCAGTTTCTGTAATTCTCGGGCAAGTTTTTCATATTTATCAATTGTTTTACTTTCTTTCTACTTCGCTCTTGTTGAACGGTCACACCTACTATTTAATGGATTTTCCTTTCCTTGTTGACATTAGTTAGGCGTGGTCGCCTGGTTTACGCAGTGCAATCCCTTTGTACGATTTTCCGGAACCAAACACTTCAAATAAGATTACACGTGGGAGTGCTGAAAAGTTCTCCGTCTGAGCCACTTCCTAAGATCCGTATTCTGATATTTGGTCATTGGATTTGCGGAAGTGTGTCAGAATAAGAACGTTTTCAGCACTCCCTCGTATAAGGGAACATAACTTACATCTCTTTTTCTCATTTACATTTGTCCGATTTTAAATAATCTTACATTGCTAAAAAAAGAAAAACAACGAAAAAAATCACCCAGCAATACTTTATGATAAAGTTATCTTGTATGATTTTATTTGTTTTTTTTTTTATTTTCAAAGTCAGAACCAAACATCTATTTTTTTCGCCATTCTTTTCATTCTAATACCTCCACAAAAATTTGAACTTGGGCTTTGCTAATACATCTTGCTAATTCTTTCAATCATTTCATCGACCCCATTTTAATACTATTGTCTTCTGCAAACATGGAGAGATTAATCAACGGATAAAACAGCAGAATATTAAACAAAACAGAAAAAACAAACGAAAAGAAATGTAATTGCAGAGATACTACAGATTGTACTCTTGATGGTAACTGCATGGTGGAAAACATTGTATATAGGGCCAGACTAAAATCTGATAACAATAAATGTATATTGGTTCTACAGCGGGAACCTTTAAAAAAACATGAAATATCGTTCAATTTGGCGAAGAGCAGCACACTCTTTGCTAGCTACACGTAAGAGATTAAGAAAAAACAGAAGAAAAGCCCTATTGGATACAACGAAAAAGACTCACAGTTTTGGATTAGAAATCAAGGTTTACAGTCCACTCCAAGAGGAAAAGTTGGCGATCGTAACATACCTAAATCAAGTAGCAAATGAACATTTCTTCTGACAAATTACGAACCATAAGATACACATCTTATTTTCTTATAATATGCACATTTTACCTCCCGCCACCAACAGTACATATATAAGCGTCTTACGGCAAACAGACGAAAAATAAGTCCTCCTTTTTGCTGCCTGATAATCCGGAAGTGACACCGCGACAGCAGTTATGTTTGTAGTTTCAATTTTTATAGTTTAGAAAAAACATTAAATTTCGCTGCATTTTCTATTTGTTGAAGATACATTGAGCACTGTTTTTTTTCTCAAAACAGCAAGCGCTTGCCTTGCCGTTTTTTATATTGTTACAAATTCGCATATATATATATATGTGTGTGTGTGTGTGTGTGTGTGTGTGTGTGTGTGTGTGTGTGTGTGTGTGTGTGCGTATGTTTGTGTGTGTGTCTGTGCGTGTGTGTATGTCATTATTCGAATTCACTTAAATCCTGGCAGTAATGAACAGAGGAATCAGAAGCGATAGATTTCTGTGGTAAGCTGCAATCATTGTCTTTGTAAAATCTTCAATACTCAAGAGGTTTCAATAGAACGAGATTTGTGAGTAATTGGAAACAAGAAATAGAGGAGGAAACTGACGAGTGTATAGAAACATGTTAGTGAAATGGATTTTAAGAACTCTAGATTGACAGAGAAAAATAGAATCAGAGAACGAAAAAGAGTATTTAAGAGAGACAGAAATACTGAGAGAAAGACTGCGTGTGGAAGATAGAAGTGGGGAGAACGAGAATGCATAAATTGTGTGAAAGGTTGGATTAAAAAATGAGAGCAGGTGCTTGTTTGGGTGGATATTGATTACGGACTGTCCATTTCTTCCGGACACTGTTTATCTTTCCTTGTGATAGTTGGCTTGTAATTCCCATATCAGAACTATGGCTAAAAACAGGCGGGATTTTGGTCAGCTTACCTTCAGAAGTTATTTTGCTAATAATTTCTCTATTTTCTCTTTCTACACCTCTTTTGACACTTATTCCAATGCTTTCATCTTGTGTTTCATTTATTTCTACTCCTTTTTCATTTCCTTATCTACTACTTTCCATTTCTCTTTGAGATTTTCCTTTATCCAATTCCTTCTTGTTTCATCTTCATTTTCTTATTGCTTAATTCTATGTTCTACTTTATTGCCCTTTTTCTTTTTGATTCTTCTTGATACTTTTTCTCGTTAAAATCTTTCTTCCATTGTTTTGCTTTTCAAACCTATCTTTGCTTTCCGTGTTTTCTCTTTCATTTTCCCAGTTTCTCTTCTCAATGTTTCTCTTTCTCATTTTTTTTCGTCACTGTTTTATTTATTTTCCTTTTGCCCAACTTGCTCACTTTTTATTTTAGACATTCAGTCTTTGTCAAAGAGATTTGTCAATCTTTTTCTAGGTCTTTTCTCAATTTTTATTGTATTTTAACTCACTGTGTCTTTATTAATTATTGCATGGCTTTTCTCTACTTCGTTATTCACTTTCCTTCTAGTTTAACTTTCTTCTTTTTGCTTTTTCAAACTTATCATAACTTAGTAATCCATTCTACTCATATGTTTTTCTACTTCGTCTTGCTTTGACCTTTCATCTGCAGTTTATTTTTTATCATTATCGTCTCCAATCAATTTGTTTTAGCCATTAGCTTCATAGCCAGGCAGATATAGCACAAAAAATTTTAAATTTTAAGTTATACAAATGTATTGTCCAATAAAAATTACAGTGTATGAGTGTAACTGTCAATTTCGAATAAAATCAGCATTCGTAATGTTGGAATTAGGTGAACTTGAACTGTAACTATTATTAAAGATTACTTTATGCCCTCGACGCACTCACATATAGTTGCTCTCGTTTTAAAGTACATGTGAATCTACGCTGCGCCCCTCTCAATACTCGATGCCATAATTGCTTTCATTAGCTGCTTTGGGCGCACGAACAAAAACACGCACTATATGTATGCACATACAGTGATATTTCAAGTGACTTATATTTTTGTATCCCCATACGTTCATAATATTTATACCATTCAACATACTTTCACTGTATTCTATACCTTCCCGATTCAAAACAACCTTATAGATATAGTGTAAGTAAGAAAAAGAACAAAAACAAATCAAGATATAGCCTGGTTGTAATGAACGTAGAATGGAAATTTGAAAGTTACTGTGGTGGGATAAAGAGTTTAGCTGAAAGAAGGTTGGCAAGTATGTACGGCAAGAGGAAATGGTTTTTGGCTGAAGCAATGATCAGGGGAATAGGTTTTTCTGATTGCTTGAAGACGTAAGGTATTACAGTGGCCGTCTGAGACAGAAAAAGATTTAATGAAGCTGGAAAGGGAGGAATTGGTCTGGTTACCGTCGGCCGAATCTCTACGGCCAGCAGGGCTGACCACTTTTGTTGATATGCCAACAGTCCCCAAGAGAGAAAGGTGGTGAAAGTCGAATGGTAGAAATGGCTGCAAGAAGGAAAAAAGGGAAGTGGCAGGAAAAAGAAGGAAAAGAAAAGAAAAATCACGAAGAAAAGAAGAAACAATTATAAAAATAAATATAATTTCAAATATAAAATAAAGAAAACGAAACAGAAGCAATAAATAAGAAAACTGGATACAGGTAAGAAACAGAGAAATAAAAAGGAAAAGGTAAATTGAAGAGAGAAGGAAGAAAGAAAGAAAAGAAAAATGGGAAAAGTAGGACATAAGTAAAGAAAACGAAAAGAGAGAAATAAAGCAGACATGCTAAAACAACAACAAAAAAAGAGAGGATGATGTAGAAAAAGAGAAAATAGAGTTTATAAATTTACTATACTTATCATTTAGTTAGACACAAGGTAAAAATAGTGGAGGGCACAGTAAAAATGAATTTGCCATGAATCGTCTGTAATAGTAACTTGCAAAGTCTCGCCTTACGTCGACCTCTGGCAGTTGCAATGTTGGAAGACAAATAAAACATGGAAAATGGTATACAAAATAGAAGGAAATGAAGTCAGGAAAAAAGAGAAATAAAGTAGACAAGGATTGATGAGAAAAGGGAAGAATATATAACGATGACTAAAAAGAAAAGGAAAGAGACGTTGATGGTATCGAGAAAATAAATTTACGAGAAGTAAATCTTCGATCAGTAAAACGTGGTAAAATAAGGATAATTAGGAGTAGAAGATGAAGGAAAGGGCGAGAGGTGGAGAGGACATTTGCTTCTACTTAAAGGAAGAAGGTGCTCAAAGCACAAAGCAGGTGTTAGAAGACGTAATGGAAAAGCTTTCCCTTGTTTCACACGACCAAAGAATGAAGGTAAAGTTGATGACGACCAACATGAAGAGTAAACGTATCCAATTATGGTACACACCGGTGGACAGGCGAATGCAAACGTTACTCCTTGTCGGCATCTATCGTAATTGTTCTAGCTGTTCGGACAGTTGTTTAGATCAGACAATTTTGAGCTTCTCACCAATGTTCAAATTAAAGAGCAACTAATGTTGGGTTATTTCGATTCAAGCATTTTACTACTTGCAATTTACTGCCTATTCGGGAGACTGATTATTTTTGTTATGTTTACTTAAAATCTGAGGCGATAAATAAGATATTCTTAATTGTTTTCATCATTATTATTGTTACTTTATTTATTATGAATATTATTATTTCATATCCATTGATATATTGCTATACATTACTCTTAGTATTATTGTTGCTTCTTCATGTGAATGGTGTCTGGTGATTATCCAAGGATCAAGTGACAGCACGTCTTTTCATAACTTTTGAAAAACTTGAACCCATGCCATTTGCATAGTTCTAGGTGGAACACGATTCCAGTTCAGTTCAGTTTCTTCTTGTATATTTCTCAGGCCAGTTTTTCCACACTCGAAAAATGAATTTAACTCTTTTCTCTCCTCTAAGAAGGTAATATTAATTGTTCTGTTGAATTTATATATATTTTTTTGATTCTATTTGCAACGGCCAGTGATTCTGTTTCTTGTTTCACTTGTCCTTTGCACAGCCATTCATTTTCTTTGTCTCATTAATTTCCAATTGACTTGTGTATCTTATCATATGTTTGTTTTTGTTTGTAGGACATTGTCAGTTTTTGTCCAATTTCTTTTTTCAAATTACTTTATTGAATTGCTTTCCCTTTCCTTATTTCATACTGTATCATCATCATCATCATCATCATCATCATCATCATCATCATCATCATTTTTTTAAAATTAATCTTCGACACTTTTTCAGCTATAATTGGCGATGAAAGTCTTGTAGATCGGTTTTTAATGGGAATACGTTCCTTCTCATTAAACTAAGTAGTTTTGTTTTTGTGTCGTTGACTTCCATACCTCAAAAACAAAAAGATCCTTTATTACGAAAAAAATAAGAAAAGTTAATATATTACTTCGTGGCACTTCGGATTTTCCTCACTCACACCTATATACACATAACTCATAAAGACAAACATCATGAAAATCATTTTTATTGATATATAACCAATCGTGTAATGATTAATAAGAGTCAACATTCTGAGTTTCGGAGCGATTGTAAAGGAGATTTTCTCCGAGTAAAACAAATAATAAAAAGAAGTCGCGAATTCAACAAAAATATCGTCGATCTGTTGTCAGTCAAAGCAAATCAATTGAAGCACAACGGGTAATGCTGGCAGTTAAGTCTTTGATGTGATTTAATTCCTTTCTTGATATCAACGAGAGCAAGTCGTATGTAGGCAATAAGGCAGATTCTATCACCGGTTAGGGTAAAAGTTCGTGGTTTGTGAGCAAGCCTAGGATCACTCGCAGCCCATTTATCACACACATGACACTAACTTCCTTCAACTACCACTACACGGTCCATCCATTTACATAAAAGCAACTAAGGCTAGTTGGTAGTTAGAGCACAATGTTTTATATATATATATATATATATATATATATATATATATATATATATATATATATATATATATATATATATATATATATATATATATATATGTGTGTATGACAGGATTGAAAGTTGCATAGTTATTTTTGCTATAAGAGTCGACAAGTCCATTGGAAAGTGATAGTGATTAGACTTTCTTTTATTTTAAAGAGTTCTGATACATAAGTTTTTTTTATTTCACTGTTTCTTTCTTTCTTCCCACTTTCTTTCATTTAATATTTTATTCTTTTCTGTTCTCTTTACTGTTAATGTTAGGTCCTTTTATTTCCTCCGTGTTACTTTTTCTCTTTCCCCTTGTATTACTAATTTAATTATATTTTTCTTTCTTTCGCTTTTTGCCTTTTTCATCATGATTTAACTTCCTTTTCATTTAAATATTTTATTCTTTTTTGTTCCGCTGTGATTTTTTGTAAAGTTAAAGTTATGTTTGTTTCCTTTTTATTTTTTTTTTCCTTGTTTTTTTTTTCTTCAGTCTTTTGTTGTCATTTTTCTTTTTCCGATTCAATCTTCGTCTTTAATTATATTTTTTTTTCCCTTTTCTTTCGCTTTTTCCATAAACTCCTGCCTTTTTTAGTCATCATGAAAATTAAGGCGAATGTGACTATAAAAGCAGTAAAAAGAAGACTAATATAAAAAAAAACAATACAAAGCAAAGTTTCTTACTTTACACGTGTTAATAGTTGAAATTACACAAACTGATGTTGTTATGTAAAGTTTACATTTACCCTATTAACGTCCGCTACAAAATACGCAGTAATTTTCTCACTATCATTCGCTTTGCCACAAAATATTTCATTTTATATTTGTTGCATTTGCAGGAATTTGTTGCTTTGAAGATTAAAGTTATCTTTGTTTCATTTAAACCTGACCTTTTTTTTTAATTCGCATAGTTTTCTTTCTGTCATGATCGCAGTTTTATTATCAGCGTTTTCCGATCTACGATATCTTTGTAGCCAATCATTTTTTAAACATTCTAATTTCAGATTAGTTGACGTCCTTCTTACCAGTTTACTTAATTGTCTGCGATTGAAATAGAATCGTTTCCACGATATACTGTTCTTATTTTCTGTATTCATTTAAAAATTTCCAGTTTGGAGAATTGATAATTCTTATTCCTATTATCAATATAATTATTATTCAGTGCGTTGAAATGCTTTTAAAAAACCATGACTTTGTCATATTTTAAACGCATGATTATTTTATTCCATAAATAATTATTTTAAGGCTTTTATGTTTATTCGGAATACATATTGAATGAGGTTGCTTACAGTACCCGGTGTTCCCAAGCGGTAGTTTTATGGTATTATAGCTCTCTACAGCATCACTGTAATCTCAGTCCTAATGACAGTGGATTATTGATCATTAAATTTATAGAGATCAAACATTTTGTTTAGAATATTATAAATTTTCTAGTAAACTAAGACATTTAAGATTAATGTACCGTCTTAGTTTCTTTATTTTCCTTAGTTCTCTTATTAAAAAAGAAAATGATTAATTATTTGACGAATTTATTATGTATATTTTAAACAGAAATTGTTATTACTGTAAATGTTTATGCATTTTTTAAGTGAGAAAATATTAACGTCCGCTACATGCTGATGCTGTTGAAGATGTATTGGTAATTTTGTCGTGCTTCGTACTATCATTCGCTTTGCCATACGGAAAATAAAGAGGTTCATTTTATATTTGTTGCTATTTCCTCAACACATAAAACTTTGAACATATCTTTAAAGAGTTTCAATTGGTATGTGCCAGTGTCTAAAATTAAAGACAATTTTATTTAACCATTTAGATAATTTAAACATAATATTTTGTATTTATTTTTCGTTATTCTTATAACAATTATAAACTTTATGAGTCTAAAAATATAAATATAACAGTTATTAACCCAAAGCACAGATGCGCACACATATGCATATATACAGAATGAGAGAGATGTGGCAATACAATGAATCTCTAAAATATAAACAGATGTATTTTGCATTTTGTCCGTTTTTCACGTGAAATTGACACAGAAAAGGTGAACTTAAAACATGGATCGCATTTATATCTAATCTATACACAGAATTGAAGAAAATTGAAGCTTCGACTCTCTCTCTCTCTGTTGATTAAGACACAAGCATATTAACACACAACCTCACAAGCTCATGTGATTACACGCAGACATCAGACATCTATAAGCGGAAGACACACACACACGTGCAAATATGGGTACAATTGTCGCCCCGTTGCCTGTTAGCCTCTTTGGTCACAATGAAGCCAATTGAATTGCACGCGCACTTAATTTCAGTCTGCTGTCTAATTGAACATGGCCACGGGAGAGAAGAGCGAGGGAAAGTAATGTTGAATGCAACTAGAGCAATGAGCATGTAGCAAAAAGAACTGAGCAATGACATTGCAGCTCTTGTTCTCAGATCGTTGTCTAACTCCCTCCCCACATACACACACACTCTCTCTCTCTCTTCTCTCTCTCTTCTCTCTCTCTCTCTCTTCCCTGCGGCCTCCCGAAGAGCGGAAAATGGGAAGGGGAAAAGGAGATAAATCGCGAGAGGTGGGGGATTTGGAATCAAGTGGCTGATGTTGTTCATGGTTTGTATTGTTGTCGGTTTTCAACGGATCAGAGCGCGACCGATCTTCTTAACCTTTGCCCAAAACACTTGAGACCTTAAATGTTCCAGTAGGAGGCGGAAGTTTATTCAAAGAAATAGGAAGAATACGACAACAGCGACAAGGAGGAGAAAGCTTTTATGCGCTTGTGGCTTGGGTCAATGTGTTCGGGCGTGCGTCTGCTTAAGTGGTAGTTGAATCCTAATTGTTATACATCCAAAGAGAAGGGGAGTGATTGGTTCTAATTTCAGTTGCAATTCAGAAGTGTGGTGAGGGTACGTAACATTAAATTGATATATTTTTAGTTAGCAAAATGAATGTAAATATACTTTTACAGTGCCAATTTTTATCTCGTTAATTATTCAAACTAATGCTGAGGATACAATGAGCAACGACTAAGTTTTGGAGAAAATGGAAGCAAAAATGAAACTTATACTTAACATCAGGAAGACGTAGTTGAACTTTATGGGTCACGTAATGAGGAAGGAGGGCTTGGAAAAGCTGATACTTACAGGGCATAATGTGGGCAAGTAGGACGGAGAAAAGCAGCGCGAAACATACTTGATGAGTTTGAGCAAATGAATGGTAGAACGGGGTTTGGGGTAAATAACAAAAAGACAAAACTTATTAAGAACTACAAGAGAGAGGAAGTTGTGGAGAGCCATGATCGACTGCGTCCTGAAGGGACAAGATACATAAAGAAGGAAGAATATTATATTTGTTTTCCTAGCATCATTGCCCACGTGGTTTCGCTTAGTTTGTTGCCTAAGTTTTCAAACGTCTATGTCGTGTATTTTTCAAGTAGATTTTAACTGAATCTGTTCATTTTTTTCATTTTTCATTTTTTATTAAAAAGATTTGCTGATAAACAAGTAGCCACATAATTGCTGGAGAATTAATAACAGCCGACCTAGATCGATAAAACAGGGATACAACCCAAACGCATGTACCCAATAAAAATAACCTTTATAGCAATATGAAATAATGACTGATTAAAAAATCAATTTAAAAATTACTGTTGTTTATGTTTCATGTAAGAAATAAAACAAGCAGATATAGATGCGTAGGAATCCCAACAAGAAATATGAGTTTCTTAAATAGGTAATTCAAACCTTGATCTATCTCCTGTGGCCAAACTGGTAGCGCACGTTTTGGGTCAAGAAGCGATTTCCCAGTTACAAAAAAAAAAGAGACACAATTTTTCTTTAGTATAACTTCCCGATCTAAGCCGGTTGTTATTAATTACACTGTTTTGGTCCGCACAGTTTCAGACTGTATATTGACGGCTTGAGTAGATGTAATGAAAAGTAATTGAAATTAGGATGAAAGAAATACTGTATAAAATTTAATTAAGACTCATTTTCCCGGATAACCTTTTCTAGAGCTCTTCAGTATTACCATCTGCAACAGACAAGTGAGGAAAGCCAAAGAAAGAGAGAGAGAGAGAGAGAGAGAGAGAGAGAGAGAGAGAGAGAGAGAATTTCAGGAATCAGAAAAACAAACTTAAATTTGTTAATTTTAATACGATGACTTTTCTCAAAATGTCTTGTAACAGTTGGAATTATTACATTTGAATAAATATGTCGTTAAATTGAAACTTCATGATAATTGCTTCAAACATCTAAAATAGATGAGAATATATCTTCAAATTTTTACACGATTTTTTTAACAGTTTTTAGAGTTTGCATAAATGATTTAATTGTCGAATATTGTCCATGAAAATGGGTCAAAACATTTTTCAAAAAATTGTTAAAGTTTTGTTTTTACCTATATGCACGCAAAATATAAAACACTTTTGCCTCAGTTTATGCGTGTTGTCATTGTGCCTGAATATATACATATATATAAATAACTTAGGAACTAAAGTTCAAAATAAAAAGTGGTGAGGACTAAATCAGATATTACATTAATATAATATGATAAGGAATTTTTAAGATGACTTTTTCTATATTTTTATTTGTTTCTCTCATAAAATGAACATTTAAATGCGCTATATTTTTTTGTTTGTATTTATTTTGTAGAATAAGACCTGCACAATTCTTCTGCATCTAAAACTTACAGAAAAATTTTAGAAGCTAATGCGGAGGTGGGGATTACGTTTTTTTTTTTATTTATTTTGAAACGTAATGGCTTTAATTATTTTAGAGAAATTGTACAATTCAGCTCAATAACAATAGATTGAGACCAAGAAAACTTAGTCTTGTGTTTAGTTCACAGTTTCATAAAAATGGATAAGGACTGAAGCCTCCGAACAAACCATAGAACGCCGTGGATAAAGTTGTTCACATTTCAAAGTATATTATGATAAGAGTTGCTGTCCCAGTTTTATATCTTAAATGAACAGGTGTCAAATACTGGAACGTATTTATAGCAGAGAAATATAACAAATATAATATTTAAGCCTGTTGTGACAAAGATTATTCTAAACTGATAATAGTAGTATACTATGTTCGGCTATTACCCGATTCCGAGTTCACTGGTCTGCCAAGGCGGATGGTTAATCTCTATTATAGACACCTAGTCGACCCACAATGCACACCTGTGTTTCAGGCTGTGATGACTTTAGTTACAGTTTCTGAGCGCGAATAATCTGATATACCAGTTTTTTGAACAAGGCCGCTATGTTCAAACTCTCAAATGCTTGATCAAGATGACATCAAACATTGTGCCAGCACAACCACTAATGGTTTCCAAACGGTTCTGTCTATCCAGTTTCACTCACAATGCTTAGGTCAACTAGTGTCATGGTTTTCAGGTACTTTTCCATGTGCCGCATGCTAGGATGGCCTTCTCAGGCCGATATTATCAAGATTTTACCTCGATGAACATGGTCAGAAAGCGTATGTTCTAACCAGACAGCCATACTACCATAGAATAATTGGATGGTAATAGAATGATTTCATATCTAACTGAAGCTTCACACGATTACTTACATCCATGTAATGGTATCTGTAATGAATATCACGTGTATATGTGTGTCATATATTATATAATGTCGTATGTTTTGCAGATAACTAAATACGTGAGAAGACAACGAAGAAATTAAAACTTTCTTTGTCTTCCACTTTGATAAGTAAATTTGATATTGATGGATATTTCAAATACTTCAATGCCATAATTAAAAACATCTTGTATAAAGTACAACGATAACAGGATGCATTAACTTACCTCCGCCCACACCTACGTTCAAAGGTCACATTCAGAGAAATACATAAACTTGACTCATTTCTATAATATATATCGTTAAATAAGATACAAGAAGGAAAATTTTTATAAATTTAATATGTTTCACTATTTAGCTTCTTCATAAAGTTTGAAAGTGAAATAATGTTTATTTATGTTTCAATTTTTAAATTCTATGTTGTTTTGTTTGCATTGGTTGTGTAAACGTTAGTGTTTATATATGTATCAATTCTAAAATTCTGTTTGTATTTTCTTCATTGATTTTGTAAGCCCCATGCTTATGCCTCATTGCGTCCGTGTTTCTGTTTAATTCTTGAAAGATTAACACATTTAAAGAGTGTTAGAAGTTATGTTTATTAGTGCATTGTAATTTTATAAATAAAGTGAATTTTGGAAGTGAAAGTATAATACTCGGCTGCATCATGTGCAAATGTTTGGATCTTACATGTTGAAGCATTTTTGATTATGTGGCCATCATGCATTATCAGATGGTGCCTGTCGGTCACATTGACCGCGATCGAAATCACAGTGTCATTGGGAATTCCTCAATCTTTTCGTCGACTGCAGAATGTTTTCGCTAACTTTTTAAACCTTTTATCTTTGGAGAGTCTTATATCGGGAATTAGTGGAGGGGTCGCGAAGGATCTTTTCTGTGGGCGGCTCGGCTCGTCGTCGACCGAGTTGCGCTCTTTCTGGTCCTGGACACCAACAACGGATTACCTCAGCAACTCTGAGTTTTCGCTGGCGATTGATTCGGATGGGGGGGGGTGTTGTTGATATCTTTCAATGACATAGCTGAGTCAGTTTTTGAGTTTTTTCACTCCGTCATTTATTTTTATCCTTCCCTCTCCGTTAGTGGGTGAGCTTCTTGGGTCCTACTACTTTTTGCCTTAAATGTTTTGTTATATTTTAGTCTCGCTTTCTGTGTTCATCCCTCCCCTCCCATTTCAAGAATATATATTTTTATAAGGAAAATGAAAAAAGAAACATTTGGACTTTGTAATATAATTACATTTTTGTCATGGGATTTTTTATAGATTCCCTGTGAATATGTGGTATTGTGATATATGTAGGATTGGATGGTGACGGATGAGTTCTTGTGGTGAATGAGAAAATGGTAATAGATGAATGAATCGTAAATTTGATTTGCTAGGTCTAGGATAGTTTATGTTGACCAGCCTTACCCCACTTGCCCCTCTACTTGTGCCAAAATTGTACTATTTGAATAATAAATCGTCATTCCTGCCAGGATTGGAACCAACAATATATGAAGGCCAAGTTCCCAAAAACCACTGAGGAAAAAGTGAAGGAAGACGTATGAGTAGGTCCACAGATAACGGAACTCCTCAAGAACAACAGCTTCATAAAAACTCTGGTTGAGATTGAACTTAAAGCCTGGGAATTCTTTAAGTGGATCTGTGGAAATTTTCTAGGTAATAAGAGACCTCAAGATTTTAGAAATGTAGTAAAATGTCTTCTAGAGTTTTTTCAGTAATGGGCTATAGGATGTCACTGAAAATTAATTTCGAGTCATATATGGACCTTATTGCAGATAATCATTAAGGTAGAATTTGATGAGCAAAGGGAACACTTTCATCAAGACATAGCACCAATGGAGCAACGAAATCAAGGATTATGGGATGGAGGAATGCTAGTTGACTACTGTGGGATGATAATAAGCATCAGAAAAAATCTATATCATAAAGACTTTAAGGTTTAATTCAATTGAGAGTATTACAGCTTTATTCTGCACAATAAATGGCCACGAAAATGCCATATCTTGTATTTATTACACCTTATTAGCACATGAATTGCGTAATTAAACGTGAAAATTACAAGAGTATCAGTAAACATAAAAATGTGACCTGACAGAGAAAAACTGACTTCAGATTCGTAATCAGCCTGAAAAATTGACTAAGTGATTTTCAATTCGGATTATTAAAAAAAGTTTAATTTTATTGACCAGACTCCAATATTACATCAAAACACGTAACACGATAAAAAATTCGAAAATCAAATATAATGTTAAACACCATAAAAAGAAAGCATAGAATTATTAAAATTAAAAGCAGTATTATTCCCTGAGATGGCCTAAATATAACAAAAAAGTATCTGTAAAAACAATCGAAACAGTTATAATTCCCACTCACCAAACAAAAAACGACAAAAATTGATTTCTAAATTTCTCAATTAATAAAATATGCAATCGAGAGCAAATCCATTAATTTTTTATATATATATATATATATATATATATATATATATATATATATATATATATATATATAATTTATTCGAAAATTATAACATATATGTGTTATAAAATCACAAAAATTTTGTTTCAACACTTCTTGTGTCTTATCAAGTGATGGTGTTGAATGTAGAATAAAGAGCTTTAAAAGGTTCAAATTAACAAAACACCCCTCGATAGGGGAAACACTATGACAAAAGCTACAGTGACCAATCAAAATACAAGTACATGAAAATTCAAAAAAACTTGACAACGAACCTTAGGTATGCCTTAATATTAGGGTTAGATTAAAATAGAAATCATTATAACAGATTAATATTAAATTTTACGATAAAACTGAAAATTAAAAATTACCAATTTTAAATTTTAAATTTAATCTGTTTTAAGTTTAAAATATTATAAAAGTATTTAAAGAAGAAACTATGCAAAAGATACATATATTTTATTATTTATTTTGTTTTAACTGAAAAACCAAAAGCTCAGAATAAACGTTAATCTAATAGGGATGTAAAACATTGTTACATTTGAAGTGGTGATATGGGCAGGGGAGGATGAAATCTTGTAAAAGGCAATGCATGCACAATCAGATTATATTACACAAACACGTAGGCATATTTAGATATATAAACAGGCAAAAACACTAACGAAACAGGAAAAAGATATCCACGACCCCCTCAAAAATATAAAATCAGACCACATATACAGACAATGAAAGGTATATATAAGCGATCACACACACATATATTAATAAAGATACACATCTACACAGCCACAAAGATTCAAGTTTGAAAGTGTTAGTAAACGAATGCAAACAGACTATTATACTATTACTTACTTTGGCAAAGATATATAAATAAAATATAATATAATATTATATAATATATAAATTAAAAGAGGGTTCAAAAGATAAAATTTAAGAGGGTTGGAATAGGAAAACAAATATTGGGCAACTTACAAAAGACCTCTAATGATGAAATCAACAAAGATCCTGATAACATTTCATAATTACACAACAGATGAGAGAAAACATCCACATATTATATATATATATATATATATATATATATATATATATATATATATATATAATGCGCGTGCGTTTTCATTAGAGGCCTTTTGCAAGAAAAATAATCATTTAAATGACTAAGTATTCGAGTAGCTTGTAAATGAAATTAGGTAGACGGAAATGTTTAATTATCCTATAAGCTATTCTCTCTGCTCAGCATATTTGGCCCTGTGGGGTTGGAAGTAATATATCGAGACAAGCTCCCGATCACACATTCGAGAAAGAAGGCGTTTGGATGATGATGATGATGATGATGGTGGCGGGGGGGGTCAGTTAACATGTCACAAATCATAATAAAAGGGAAAAATAGAGATGATGAAATATTAATTCGAAGGAAATAAATGTATAGAGAAAGCCAAATATCAAAATTTGTGAAAAAAGAAAGAAGGCAAAAGAAAAAAGAAAGTGAAAGCAAGACAGAGAGTGAGAATTGCAAGAGAGTTGTCAAAGAAATAAACTGACATTGCAAGTGAAACAATTAAAATGGAGAGATCGAGATTATATGAGTTTTCATAAAAGAAAAAAGGAAATAAGAAAAGAAAGAAGAAACTAAATATGAAAATAAACTTCGCAGAAAGTAAAAAAAACAAAACTGGAAAAAGAACAGGTAAGTAAAATTAAGAGAAAAAAATTGTAGCTGCTTATATTTTGATTTTGTATTTCTGTATATCTAAATATTCGCATTTATGGATGTTTACATGTTTGTGCGTGCATGCGCGCGTGTCTGTTTTTCGTATGTGTGTGACAGTCATTGATGAAAGTTCATTGCAGTTGTTTTTTGTTGGTTGTTCTATAATTGGCAAAATACAAAAGAACATTGGGTGGGCGGAAGTGATAAATGATGGTACATTTTGAATAACGGCAAAATGATAAACAGGCAAAGGCTACAGTTGAAAATAAGAAAGGGATAAAAAAAAAGTATGTCTCACTGGAAGGCGGAAAACAAATGCAAAGATTAAGAAAGTGAACGCTCAGGAATGATGATGAAGAAAAAACAAAAAAGAAGAAAAGAGAGAAAAACAATATACAAGGGCAACAACCGAAAAGCACAGGAGACCAGAGCAAAAAATACGAATCAAAAATAAAGAGATAAAAACAATCAAGAATACATATGAACAAATTATTTTGATTTTGAAATGAATGTACAATTTGAAAAATGGAAATGAACCGAGAAATTTTAACCCGTCTTTTTTACTCTTTTCAATCTCTTTGAACACACACACACACACACACACACACACACACACACACACACACACACACACACACACACACTGGCAAAAGAGATTTTCAACACTGCATGGTGTACACATGCAATCACTAACACACATATACAGGGTGTATTAAAAGTACTTTTACAAACTTTGGGGCGGGTTCCTCACATTAAAGAAGGATAAAAGTCCATATAAACATGTTCGCAAATGCTTCGTTTTTTTAGTTATTAAGTTTAAAGTTTACAGTTGACGCTGTTAAAGGTATAATTCAAAAGTACTTATTATTATAGTTTGTTGTGCCGCAGATTCTGTCTCAGGACACGACGATAAACAGCAGCAAAGGTTGGATGAGTCACGATATGAATATCCTGTGGAACACTTAATTCGCTACAACACATGTTAAATGTTGAAGACAGACTAGCCACAAACATACACGAATGACAAATGGACTTTTGCCATTTTTTAGTTTGAGGAACCCGCCCCAAAATTTGTAAAAATATTTTTGATACACTCAGTATCTATCTATCTATCTATCTATCTATATATATATATATATATATATATATATATATATATATATATATATCATTGAATGTGATAGACAAGATTTTATTAAGTGTTTCTAATCTTCTTACAGTTATTCTTTTCTTTTGAAAGGGCTAAGGGAGTGCAGAAACTGTCCATAATAATTATTGTCCTAAGCATTTTCGGACAACCATTATAAAGGACCCCATTGTTAATGTTTTTCAATGCTTGTGTTCTAAGCTGTCTTGTGCAGTTGCAGTAATCTTAGGCTGCGCGAAAAGATGAGGTCATAACTTTATGTCTTCTAAAATGGTATTTTTTTCAAATTCGTATGAGAATTTTCGGGCAGAATTATTTTCGAAAATTGATTTTAGGTAGGGAAAGGTGTTCTTTGCATTTTCAGTATTTGAAATCCTTCCTTCACTTATTTCCATCAACAAGGTTTTATAATGTTTTAACCATTAAAATCAACAAACTTAGTGCATATTTATATGGAGATAAAAGAAAACTTTACATTGACTCAAAATGGAAAACCTTTTCAAACATGGATCAATCGGTTGTTGACGACCAAAATAATTTGACGAAAATTTTTTCTGAAGTTTAATGATTTTTCCCCAGAAGTTGCTCAACTTACATTAAATATTGAAGCGTGGGATTAATTTCCCTCTGGAAGTTCTCCACTGCCTTAACCGGGCATGGAACTGACACTCTTTGGGTCCTGTCACTGGATCTAACTAATGCCTTTTATCCACTGTGCCATGTGCCCTCAGTGGAGAACTTTTAGAGGGAAATTAACAGTAGATAACTGATAACTGACATCCATTAAACATGGCATGTGGAACTAGAACAGTCTACCCCACTGAGCGAAATAAAGGGTTCAGTTCGACATTCCAACCACCTGAAGAAGGCCGGAGTGTACAACGGCCGAAACGTTGTAATAAATATGGCGACAAAGATGAGGACAATAGTCCGAATAATGTAAATAATGTGATATTGAATTATTATTATCATTATTATTGTTGTTGTTGTTGTTGTTGTTAAGTGGGAGAATAGTCCGCTAAAAAAGTGGCGCTGATGAACATATATACGAAACCTAATATACCCCTCATGATACCCAGTCAAAAGTTTACCAATCACGTGCATTACAGTCAAATGTGCGTGATATGGTGACAATTTTGATGAAAGTATTGCATAATCTTGCAGGTGGGGCCTAGATAGAAATACCTTCAGGTCTGGTAACCTATTCCGCTCTAACAGTCTCCGCTTGAGTGTGTTCCCATCTAGATTTAACTCCCATGTCACCTTGGCTGCCTTATCTTTCAAAATTAAAACATTTACCCTCTCGATACTTAGTCATGGTGCTCTACCTCGCTACTCATTAACAAGGAATCGCAATGCGTCATCCTCTAAAGGGGGCATGTCTAGTTGGCAACTGACAAGAAAGTCTCTTTTACTGGATGAGATATTTACAGTAGGCCGTCTTAACTGATTAATGCAAAACATGTACATGTTAACTTCACTCAAGATCAAAGCCATAAGTGTTATGCTTGGTATAGTATCAGGGTAATGATTATTATTATTATTATTAGATAAGACACAGAGCTGATGAAACCGAGAAGTAAACGCCTAAAATATACAGGCAAAGAGTTAATATTTCCGATAAAGTATCTCATTTATGGAATAAATGAGTATTTGCAACTAAGGAAAATACTTTTATTTCGTTCAAACCATTGGAAATTTAAATGTTACTCTACTATATCGAAACATTTCCATTTGCGTAGAATAAAACAATTGACATGAAAAGGTTAATTTTCACAATCGGACAACTGATTTTTTTTTTCTTTTGCAACAAGATATGCATGCATGTACGCTTTTTTTTGTTGTTTTTTATAATATGCTGTGCTTTCGAGGCAATATTGTAAAATAGAAAGAGCAAATAGGGGAAAGATAGATGTGAATTAAAGTTTTAGAGTAAAAAGAGTTTAAACAATTTTCAAATTATATTTTAATTGCACTGGAAACTTTAAAGATAAAACATAAGGATTCAGGAAAATAATAAAAAGCAATAGAAACTAAATAAAAGAAACAGAAAATAATTCGCTTAAAAATCAGTCAGTCTTCCCCAGTTCTTCAAAAGTAGAAGTTAATGAGATTAATTAAAAAAAAATAATAGATAAATAATAGCAGAAAATAAAAACTGAAGTTGGAGACGAGAATGTGAGTTTTGTTGAAGAAGTGTTGAATTCTTTTAGTCTCTAGGGAGGGCAACAACTTTGCGTCCTTCGACGAATCCTTCAGGGCCTACAACTGATCAAGAGAGTAAATGGTCTGGCACCCTTCCTATACCTAATTGTAAGTGTTGTTCAATTAAATACAGCAGATGAAAAGTTATAGACAGAGAAAGAAATCAAATGCTGATAGTGTGCAAAGAAAGAAAAAGAAAAAGGAAGATATTGCCTGGCAAACAGTAGAAATATGCAAAATTGAAAAAAAAAATGATATAATGGAAAGTGCATATTCAAGTATTAAAGTTGATAGCAGTAACAACTATGAAAAGTAAACTGAACAAAGAAAATCACCAGTCATAAAATGTAATTTGGATAATGGAAAAATAAAGAAAAAAGAATAAAGAAAAAGGAAATGAAGGAAAGAAGGAAAATAATTAAAAACAGACCAAAAAGAAGAAATGCTGCATAATGTCTGGAATATGTATAAGAAAAGATTGAAAGTAGTAAAACATCGAAAGACAATGTTAAAATCATTTTATTATTATTATTTTCTTTTCTTTGATTTCTGTTGTATACACATTTCCTTCCGGGTCCCAACCAGACATCTAAGGCCAGAAATGGCTTTATAATATTTTCCACTAATCATTTTTGTAAAAGCAAAAACAAAGAAAACCTAAGATTACAAATATTTTATACGGATAAATACCTTCGTAATGTGAGAGCTGTACTTGTGAGTACAATTTTTTGTGTTTCTTTAAGGCGTAGCCTACCAAGAATCCCTTCAATAAGTCTGTCAGACTCTTTTCTAATCAATCCGAGGGCTTCAACTACAAATGGAATTATTGATGTCCACACGTGCCTCGTTTTTGAGATTTTTATTTTAAGATCCATGTATTTTGATAGTTTTTGAAGATCTTCAAAGATATATTACAATCTGCAGGAACTGCAATATCAATAAGTAAGCACATTCTGTTCTAGTGGTCTTTGATCACAATGTCTAGACGATTAGCTTTGATTGTCCCAGATACAGGCTCACTCGATCATGCTGAGTTTTATATTCATTTGATGCTAACACTGATACAAAATGGTCAGTTGTTTCTGGATATTTATCATAGAATCTGCATTTGGGGACAACATAATTTTTCAGTATGGGTGTTTGGTATTTTCTAATTAGCTAACGTTGGTCCAGTGCAGCAAGAATAAAACCCCTGATGGATACGGGGTTTGTCTACATCAGCTTCTTTGATACAGCCAGAGTATTGACCATGTAGAGGCTTATCTTGCAATCATTTCTGCATCTGGCACTTTGTATTTGCTTCTGCTTTGTTTTTTAGGTTCTTTGCAGCTTCACCCACTTGATTATTATTATTATTATTATTATTATTATTATTATTATTATTACTACTACTACTAATAATAATAATGAATGTAATAATAATGAATGTAATAATAATAAATGTAAATTATGTGACATTACTGACTATTTAGTTTCTCACTGTTCAATTCTGACGCCGAAAAATACAAAGATTGACAGATAAAAATATATCGTTTTAAAGATTAGTACAAAAAAAGTTAAATGTAAGGATCTTGAGAGTGAAATTGAAAAAATGTAGCATCTTAATCTTAAGCTCTAATAATTGGTGCCGTAGGTACAATCAAAAGAAGTAAAACAATATTAACAGAATCTCTAGTCGCTCCTGTTTCTAATAGATTTTTTTTAAAATTGCACTGTATGGACCTGCTTATCTACTCAAGAGAGTATTAACAATGCAAAGAAAATATAAACATTGTACATGTTATGTATTACTTAATATCAGAATTTGTGCAAACAGAATGCATATATTAACTACCTTTAGTCATTCCATGTTTGAGACAATGACCCAGTGTAACCTGATAAGGAACGATAAAAAACCAAAATAATAATAATAATAATAATAATAATAATAATAATAATAATAATAATAAAGGAAGAGGAAGACAATAAAGAAGAAAATTGAGATGAGAATAAGAAGAAAAGGAAAAAGAAAAAATAAATAATGAGAAAAAAAGCTGATGAAATTAAAAAAAATCACGTGGAAGAAGAAAGCTAAATGGGCTGAGCATGATTATTTGAATGTTTCTTATAAAAAGAAAGACGTGTTCACTTCTCTGTGTATGCTTAAACAATGGCAATGTGTCAAGAGAAATAGAAACATGTTTATCACAAACGTGTCTACCTAGAAAGATATATTAACTGAGACTGATTTATTTTATCCATATTAAAAACACCCACTCACATATAACAGCGTTTATTACATATTTTTTATGCAGTAATTGCTAAGTAAAGATTAATAACGCTGTATATTTACTCACTTAAGTGCACTATTTTTTTCATTCAGTAAATTAGCATCCAATTATAAATACACAAACATGCATGTATACTCACATATTTTGAAGCTGTTTCACGTTCACGAGTTGATAAAGCTACACATTAAACGTATAATGAATGGTACCGAAGTTTTCACCAGTATAGGGATAGTTGAAATCACGAAGTATGAAAAATAAGTTAGTAATTAGGAGAAAATAATATATAATTATATATACCAAAAATATTAGGAAAATTAAAGACAAAATGGAAATCAAATTGTGCAAGACGCGTTTTGTCTTTTAGGACTTTATCGAACTAGGTTCACGTTGATGCGCACGCGTAGGAAAGGGCATGCTCAAATTTAAAACGTTTAAATTTAATTAATACATTTATATATATATATATATATATATATATATATATATATATATATATATATATATATATATATATATATATATATATATATATATAATTTGGTTTACCGTCTTTTTGTTTTTTGTTTATATCTTTATCACTTTTAAACCTCCACAATAAATTTTGCGTTCAGGTTCTTAAAACATTTTAAACTTTTCTAATTTCACAATGTGGATAAAAACATAAAAACAAAAAGAAACTAAACGAGATTAGCTATCAAAATACAACTAAAATAGATTTAAAAGTTTAAAATTTCAGCGTCCCCTCTCCTTCGTATATATAGTTACATGAAGGGAAACGTCACTTTAGTCCAACGAAATGAAACGCGTCACAAAATATTCATCTTTTTCATTAATAGATCCAATTGCGTCTCGTCTTTTTGTATCGTACTGACTAATGCGTACTACTCATATTATAAAAATATTTTTTTTAATTTTTTAAATAAAATTAGGGGATTTAGGGGCGTAGTTATATCGAGTAAAGATTAAAGAAAGTATTTCCCATAAAATCGTCTTTATGTTACGATTAATTTTATTTGTTTTTTACATTATAGAGTTTCTGTCAACAGATAGTGGCCAGTGTGATTTTTGCGGATTCAAGGAGATTTTTGAAATCATAATCATTTCATTAAACTTTAATTAATTAAAAGAGTTGTTTTTATTTCCAAGACACAAATCTAAGCTCTTATGTATGTCGCGAATATGGGAAAAATCATAAGAACTCTATTTTAATTAATATTTTTCGACAAGACATATTTTCGTTTGTAATACCAACGAATAATCCACCTAGGGATTTATAAATGCTATATAGATGCTTATCTATCTATCTATCTATCTATCTATCTAACGTTAAATATACATATAATTATGTGTTTTTATATACACATGTGCATGTCTAGACGTAGACATAAGCATGAAGAAGTGAGACACGGTGAAAGTTCACTTCTTGCGTACGATTAATATGACAGTCTCCTGGGTAACGATGTCAACGGGTCTATTTAAACCTAAACAAAAGAAACAAAGGGTGAAGAGGAAATAAGAAACAGTTACAGAAAACAAAAAAAGTTTAAATGAACGAAAAACATTTTCAAAATAAGGCTTAATAAAAAGTGGGGAAATCTGAAACTTGTTTTGTTCCAAATTTGTTTTCAATCAGAACAACAAAGATTAATGACATGAACGGTTCTTTCTTTAAAGGGAGATAATAAATTGATGTAAATAATGAAATAAAATCAAGGCAGATGATAAAGGAGAAGGAAAACCACTTAAAGTAGAAATAAGAAAAGTGAGCAAATAAACAGAATATAAAATTAAAAATATATAATATATATATATATATATATATATATATATATATATATATATATATATATATATAAGAGAAAAAAGAAACGCAAGGCTGGGGGGTGCATCTAAAGAATAAAATATAAGATAAAAATAGAAGGGGACTGAACTAAATATTTACGAAAGGAAAATAGCTGAAAACACTACAAATCTGGAGATAGAAAACAAATGGAAAATTTGAGTCAAAAATAGTTAAGAAGACGGTAAAATAGAAAAAAAAGGAAAACGAAAATTCAAATTTTAGGTAGAACATCATTTAAAGTGATGGATTTCCAATAAATAAGGAACGGAAAACCTAAAAGAGAGAAATCTAATGCTGGTGAAATGATAACAAAACCTACAAACGATTAAAATTAGGCGTATAAGTGTGTGTGTGTGTGTGTGTGTGTGTGTGTGTGTGTGTGTGTGTGTGTGTGTGTGTAAGAGGAAGAGGGGGAGAAAGAGAATGTGGGGGGGGGCACGCGCGTCTGTGTGCGTGTGTCGTTGAGAGAGAGGAGTGTGTGTGAGGTATAAAATGTGGGTCTGTGTGTACGCACACAGAGTAATTGTGAATATATTTAACTTTTTTTCAAGATTGTCATGCACATGTGTAGGATTTAAAACACATCGGTAGCACGAAATATACACAGACGAGACGAAGCGAGAAGTGACGAGATTACCCAAGATGCGAATTCTAGTAATAGAACCAAAGAAAAACGATAAGAACTGATGAATTTGATGAATAATATAGACAAATGTTAACACAAATTTCAATAGCTTATAGAAATAACGACGGTATGGTTTTTGAAACTGAACTCTGTTTTCAATATCGACCATCATACTTTTCCTAACCATCGGAGCTATGCGTTGAAAGCTTTCGAGGTGAAGAATTATCATATATTATATACCTTTACAATGGACGAGTGTACTCACAACTTTTTATTTCTGGCTCTTTTTTGGAAAACAATGTATGATAAAGTTGTGTTGTAATAGGTAATTAGATTAACTTGTATTGCACGCCATTTTACAGAATATATTATGTTACAGTCAATTATAATTGAACTGGAAAAGTGTTATAACAATAAGTTAGAGATCACCGTTTGATGAAAAAAAAAATGAAAACTTTGTGAAGAAAAAAAGAAAAAAGTTTTAAGAATGTCTCAAAAAGAGATTTGAGAAAGATAAAAGGGTACTAAGCAAGA